AACAATACCTAAATTTGTACAGAATTAATGAAGTTAATGTATGTTGTTTTATTAGAATTACTTATTCAGTTACACATAAATCCAAGAAACTTTTTAACATTTGATACAAGGTCAAAATGGGATGCACAAAATTGAATCACCATCACCAAGAAGTCATAAAAATAAAGTAACTATATTCAGAGGCATCAACATTGTACGTAAAATAATTATAAAGAAAAAGGGGGAAAAAAATTGTATCGTAAATATAATAAACCAGACAAATTCTGATTCTGAGTCTCAATCACCTGATATTATTTACATGTGGCTCTGACACTTATTACTTCAAAGGTACTACATGGGCATTTAACAGAATATGCTGAACCATTTGTCACAAGATCCAAAGACTGGAAAACAAATGGAAAATTTTACACTGTATATGTACTTAATTCATAGAAAAATTGGGATTTCAGATGGTCGAAATGTCTCACGTTCAGTGTATGTACCACTGGCGGCATATATAAAATTTATTTTCAAAACACGCACAAACTGAACTATACTGTTTCATAAATTGCTGTTTATGTAAAAGTTAGTTATTACGTAGAAAAAGAAGGTTCGCTAATTCGTTGAAAGTAAAAGTCAATATTCATTTTAACGAATATATTGCTATAAATATAAATAATCGTTGCTCGTTCAGTGATAATTGGCGAATGTTCATGACCAGCGTGTGATAAGTTAATGTTCTCACTTTGCACTGAAGATTTGTGATCGAACCTGATAGTTTTAGAAGGCCGTTTTAGAAGACTGACCTCCACGCTTAAGTAAAGCTTGTCGGTCGACGTCTCACTGAAATGTCTGAGAAGGAAATAAGCCTTGTCAAATACTTCCTGAGCGGAGGATTTGGAGGGATATGCACCATCGTGGTGGGTCATCCCCTAGACACGATAAAAGTAAGGTTACACCAATTGGTAGAAAAATTAACGTGAAATTACATATTTTACTAATTGACAAGATCCGAAAATTCATTAAAGACACATTTTGCTAATTGGATTAATGCATCATGGTTCTTGTCGCGAGTCTTCATGAAGTAATGAAGATGAACAGTACATGTACTAAATACATTTGCAAGTAAGATTCTTGTACTTATTGACAAAACTCTGTTTCCATTTGTTGAAGTGTAGCGGTTTCACCATTTGATAG